GGCAATCAGGCTTGAACAAGAAAGCTCAGAAAAGCAAAACGCTAAAACACATTCCAAGCATTAATGAACATGGCCTATCGAAGGAACATCTTCACAGCAATTGGCAAGCTCTGATACTGATGCCGGACGATGTGGTAGGCGAGCTGACCACTCCGAGGCTTCAAAGTGGGCTATTTGTCCCTGCAACTAAGGGCTGGGGAGTGTCCCCCAGTTATATTCATCTAGTCGCCTGGGAGCCTGTCCCCATTTACGTAAGGGACTGGGGATTTCATGGATGGCTACTCTTGAGGCTGCTGGAATGGATTTGAACAAATGTCTTGAACACATCTTGCGCACACATTCCCAAGGCATACTGCAGGCGCTATCCGGCTTTCTGTAATGAATTTGAAGAAATATCCTTGCCTTCAGAGGTAAGCGTGGGATTCCTCTCCACTATTTATCACACAAGCCAAAGGAGCACAATGCCAAGGCACATCGCCAGGCTTCGTCCTCCATCAGTGTGCCGCCATCCACAAGCCATTGCGATGGGCAAAGTGCCACCAATGGAGGGCGAAGCTGCAGCTAAATTTCAAATGTTGCTGTCCTTATAAGTTATAAGTTATACGCCCTTTGCTGCCACTCAGACTCTGCTTTATCCTGTATTATTGGCAAGGAAGCACATCACCATCATTACGAGGCACAACTACCTCAACTTGCCCGCTTCAACCCTCTTCACCAGCGGCAGGTGTCATGCCATTGTCGCATTGTTCAAGACTTGCCTTCATGGGAGCTCGTTGGTGCAACGGAAGATGTGAGGCTTCCGAATTTCTCACTGAGACTCTCAAGCGGAAGTTTGCAGCTGAAGCAGCGGCAGCAGTCTCAAAAAAGCTACCTCAGATAGCGCAAGGAGCGCAGCATTTTGCAACGCATGCAGGTGACTAAACGGCCAGCACATACTTATTCTGCAAACAGTCAAACATTCAGCGTGACCCCAAACGTGACTGAACAAGCATTGAGAGGTTTCCAAACAAGGACCTGGTGGGTACTTCCCTCCCAAGCGCACCAGCATCAACGCAGCGGGGAGCGTAACGATGGCCCCGAGGATGGACAGCACCGTCACAGCCACCACCACCGCCCCAAGCTGGGCACAGGCTCGAGTCAACACACCTCGTGCCAGAAGTTCCACGTAAGGGGTGACTTCTAAGGGAACTTGGGAGGCTAGTACCTGACAGGAGGCTAGTACCTGGCAGCCTCATTGCTGCATGATGAACCCTCTTTTGCGACTATGTGCCCACTCATGTCGAAGGTCCAAAAAGAAACAGGATCATACCTAAATGCCTGGAACTTGCTCAATCAGCCAGCCATACAGAACTGTCAAGCCCGTGCAACCGCATTGAAATCAACACAGTTGTGTGCAAACCCTGCCTGTCCCGCACTTTCAAATGTCGTGAGATTCCGAGACACTACGCTGCTTTGCCTTTGCTTGCTAGCATGCTACTCACATGTTCATTTGACTCAATGGCTTCCCTAAACTTCGCTTCTGCCGCTTCAGCTCTTGCTTGGCATATCAGGGCGGGCCTTCACAAAAATGGTCAGTGTGCAAAAGAGCAGGAAAGCGCTGCTTCCGGCAGTTGACCTTGCGCGGAGCAAGCCATATCAGGCAGCGGGATTTCCGGATGATCGGCCTTCCCAAGCCACCCTGACCAAGGAGCTCAGCGCCAGCCCAAAAGTCTTGCTGTCACCCTTCCAGGAACAACTTGAACAATGCAGACGAGAACAAGCTTGAAGTACATGAAGAAAACGGCAGTCAACATAGTCATGGACAATTTCATGTGTGCATTCTTCAATGGACATTAACCAATTCTCTGCAAACTATGTGCAGTCCTCCCATGCCCTTCCTCAATAAATCAAGTACATGTGCATAAAGAATTCCTGTGCTGCTGCTCACACGTGAGCTTGCAGCTCCAGCAAAAGCAAGTGTTAGGAAAGCACGGCCACCACAACTTCATCTCACTGACAGCATCATGGTATTTTGTCAATCAAGTTTGAGGCTGGATCCTTCGCAAACTTGCAGTTGCCACAAAAAACACCTCTTTCTTACAGATTCAAGAGACCGTTGTTGCCGTGGCAAAACCACAGCCTGGAGGCCATGTCTGCACTGGGCTTCCCGGCAGGGCGGAGCTCAGGGTGGCGCCACCCACATGCAGCACAGCCACGCGCGTGCGCGCCTGAAGGTCAGAGGCAGGCTTCTTGGCATAGCGAAAACATGGCTGGCTCGTCTTTTTTTGAGTTGGTACCCTTTTTAGGGGGATTTTGAAAGGAAACCAAAGGAAATTGGCCATTTTTGGGGTAGCCCTAGTTTGAGACAAACCCACATGGCCACTGATATGCCATGCGGACTGACAGTTGGAGGGCCACCATCCCACCACTGACCGCAGCTGACAGAATGCTGCACAACATTTTTCCAAGCCAAAGGGACATCTAATGGAAGTCATCTGTGCCATGTCGGTCATCGTTATGGTCCCTTCAGGAGGACACCCCACAATTCTTGTCGCGAATTCCACTAAAAGGTCCATGACCGTCCCTAGTAACCCCGAGGGGGTTCTGACCACATCTGAATCGCTGCCAGTTTGTGCACAGTGCTCCGCACCTTTCGGAGCAGCGGCCCATGGAGGTCTTCGGGTGAGACCTGACGATCAACTATCGCAACACAAACGGACAACCAAACACAGAAACAACGAAAACAACAAAAACAAGGCAATGAAGACACCGAAGAAGGGAAATGAAAACACCCAGGAATGGAAGAAGCACCCACGCATGCACGCACGCACGCAAGCAAGCAAGCAAACCAATCATCTCATTCCTGACGACAACACCTTGCACCTCTGCCAGTGAATGCTAATGATGCTATATGGGTGTGGCTCAAAATTAAACAGGAGGGGTTACGCAGGTTTGGGTCCATGTTTCCACTTCCAGGTTTGATTTTGGTACCGATTTTTTGAGCTGAATGCATTGACACTCTCCTGCCTTGCAGGCGGGCAAGTGTGTAACAAGCGCCAGGGCACAAGAAAGCGAAGCCTGAGTGTGTGGAGAACATGAAACACCAGGAAACCAAGCATTGCAGTACTGAGAACCAAGTCATGCAGAAGGTGCATCTGGGAACGCCATGGCAACTGCAGCATGCAGTTGCCGTAAAGGCCAGCATGCACCGTTCATGCAGGGTTAATGTGTGAGGAGGGGACAGGACAACATCACGCTACATATATATATATATATATTTTTTCGACGTGGCCGTGCCGGGAGGTTGGTGTAAGGGGTCTGAATCGCAGGTATGGTTCGGGGTATGGCTCGGGGGTATGAATCGGGGTATGGCTCGCGCGCCTCTGAACTCTTGCTTTGTGGCTTTGCAAAGCTCCCGTGCGCTGGCAACTGGATAGCCGTGAGAATTTGGACCGCTTAGTTGCTACAAGCCAGCCTGGGGCGCTTGTGAGTGGCCTGAACTAGACAGCTGCCACTCTGCGTGAGTGGGTTAGCGAAAGCAGAGCCACTGCCTGAGGCGAACGTCATGGCCACCTCCACTTGGAGTTCAAGCGACCCGCGTGCTCACAGACCCAAGCAAGCGTTGCTTAAGGGGAAGCGCCGCTGCCCAGTCAGGCCACCTGCACCAGTCACGAGCCAGCGTAAGGGCAAGACAGCGTGACATCCTCAAACGGCAGCCGCGCAGAGGCTAGTGGCCGTCTCACAGGTGGTGTACCGTGTCGCGCTTGGTACATCGCAGTAAGCCTTCCGAACCCACCTTCTGGCGAACTTCTGCAAAAAAAGCGGCGAGCTGGTTCCTGCAGTGCTTCTCTTTGAGTTTTGTGTCTTCTGAGGATTTGGGCGGCATAGCTTCGCTAGTACTGCCCAGAGCGCAAGAGGCTCTTGGCTGCAAATGGCAGCAGAAGGGTATGATATGGTATGAATCGGGTATGAATCGGGGGTATGAATCGGGGGACAGATTTTTTTCGACCGGAAAGACACCAAGAGTACCCCAGGAGCACAAAGACAGCTTGTGTTTCACTGCGACAGTGGCCCAGGACAGACAGCTGTTTCCACCGCGTCGGACAGACTGCAGGAAGCAAGCTCCAAGTTTCAAGCTCAGCAGCGGCACCCCCTGCCACAGCGCCCTGCAAGTCCCAGCATCTTACGTCAAGCTGCACCCCCCGCCACAGCACCACGGATGCTACAGACAACTCTAGCACCAGGACATTTGCAGGATTGCTCTATAACTCCATCCATTGGCACTTTCCATTGAAAATCGCAAGCCGAGACCGAGCCGAGTGTCAAGGAACACCACTTGAGCCAAAATGGCCCCCCACGAGTAACCAGTGAGTGTGTGAGTGGATGCAAATGCCACAGTTCTTGCAAGTTCTTTTTTTTGTGTTTTTTAAGGGGTATGACTCGGGGTATGGCTCGGGGGTATGGTTCGGGGTATGATTCGGGGGTATGGCTCGCCCAAGCCCCACCTCCCACAAAGACTAAAGAACTGACACGGTAAAAAAAAACACAGACCCATATATATATATATATATATATATACATATATATATATATATATATCATATTCTACACCACCCCCACCCTCCTCCCCCCCATGGTTCAGAAGCAAGCCGCTCCCCCTGGGTGTGGTTTGGGGTTGTGAGTTTGGGGTGGGGGTTTGGGTCGGGTCTGGGTTGGCTTGCGGTTGGTTTCGGGCTAGGGGGTTAGGGATTAGGGTTATGCAAGGGTGCGAGTTCAGGGGAGGAGGGGTCTGGGAACCGTAGCAGTGGGCTATGAGGATTTGGGGGCTTGGGGTTGCTTGCGGGGGGTGGTGGCCATATACCGCGAAGCTTTCTGAAGCATGGACTCGCGCACGAATCCGTGACCGCTGCCGCCTGAATGTTATCCACAGAGAGCTGCACGTCAGCCACGTCCTGCACTTATCGATTTCGTGGCACGTGCAGCTTGTCACACTCCAAACCTTTCTGGAACCTGTTGGGTCG